TCCATTCCCTTTGCCCCTCCCTCATGCTTGCAAATTCCCTGTCCACTGGGAAATTTCAACTCTAGTAATCTCTACTGGACGTAAGACTAGATTTCGTCATTTACCCACCTACCCCATAGCAGTTGATGTTTCTTCCCAGAACTAGTCTGTCTCATGTGCATACATTCCATGAGAATCTAATGACATTTAACTTCTTGTTTCCCAGGTAGCTACAGGGTGCCTGCCACGTAGTAGATGTTTAATGCTTGGTATACATTTGTTGAACTAATAATTGAAAATACTAATGCAGAGGGCTGAGGAGTACGTAGGATAGTGAGAAATGCCTTCATTTTTTAAACAAAGATTTGTTGAGCACGAATGAGATGGCTTCTACTTTACAAATAGGTTATAACTTAGTAACAGATACACAGTTCTAACAATGTGGTAGGTATTATGACTGATTATCTTTGAGTATTGATAAATACTCTGATAGCAAAGGGAGGTAGTGACACAGGAATGTGTAACAGCTTGGAGAAGTTGCTTAACTACATCTGGTCTCAGTTTTTGCAACTGTAAATGGGAATGATGTAGAAATTAGACAGGTTGTTATCTGTGTTTGAGTGTAGATTCTATCCAGTTGGGTAGCATTCATGAAATCATTACCTGAGCTTTGGTTGAGACCTGTCAAGGCTCCCTCTTTTGCATACTGACAACTGACATCCAAATTTCTGCATGCCTGCTCTTGTTATTAACCAAACTTCTTAGATTAGTTTAGATGCTGGGGTAAAGGAAAGGCATGTATTACTGGATACCAATACTGCGTCTCTGTGAAAGTTCCTACAGTTGTGGACACTTGTCTTTTGCTTAGAGGCCAGTGGCACTTCATTAGTCCATTTTCATGCTGCTGATAAAGACATACCTGAGAAGGGGAAGAAAAAGAGGTTTAATTGGACTTGCATGGACTGGGGAGGCCTCATAATCATAGTGGGAGGTGAAAGGCACTTCTTATGTGGCAGCAGCAAGAGAAAATGAGGAAGATGCAAAAGTGGAAACCCCTGATAAAACCATCATGTCTCATGAGACTTACTTCCACGAGAATAGTATGGAGGGAACCGCCCCCATGATTCATATTATCTCCCACTAGGTCTCTCTCACAACATGTGCAAATTATGGGAGTACAATTCAAGCTGAGATTTGGGTGGGGACACAAAGCCAAATCATACCAGACACTGAGCCCTGTTAGGGAATAGTGCTACAGTGTAGTGAACCTTTAAGTAACGAATCCTATATCGTGCCACAGGGTGTCTGTCAGCTTTGGCCCTATCTGTTCAGGGCAAAAAAAAAAAAAAAAAAAAAGTCTCTTAGAGCTCAGGTATTTGCTGGCTGAATAAATAAAATGGTTGGTTTGCTCCATTGGAGTGAGGTGAAATTGATGCATTTGTTCTAGGACTCCAACCTGTATGTCATAATTGATGGCAATCTAATACTCAGGTGAAGGCCATTTAGATCAGAAAAGAGCACCCTTTCTGTGCAACACCATTGTAACATTCCTACTTACCCCGCAAACTAAGCTATTGAATTTGAGGAGGACTAGTCAGGTTGTGTGGCAGAATATCATGTCACTCCTTTAGTCCCTTTTCCAAATACTGCATCAGAAGCTAAGACTGTAATTTCTGTTTACTTAGGGATAAAGCTGAGCAATTCAGAATAATTTATGGTCACTGTAGATTATTGGCACTTCATTCCTGTTTGTTTGTTTGTTTGTTTGTTTGTTTTTTAAGACAGAGTTTCACTCTTGTTACCCAGGCTGGAGTGCAACGGCGCGATCTCGGCTCACCGCAACCTCCGCCTCCTGGGTTCAGGCAATTCTCCTGCCTCAGCCTCCTGAGTAGCTGGGATTACAGGCATGCGCCACCATGCCCAGCTAATTTTTTGTAGTTTTAGTAGAGACGGGGTTTCACCATGTTGACCAGGATGGTCT